TGTAGATAATCACATCCTTAATGATATTGTGTCCTCCGTTTTTTTCTAAAGCCTGTTATTTTTCACATATGACACAAACATATGTTTTTTTAAATGGAAACCATAGTTGGCCAAGACTCCATAGAAAGCGCCATTTTTAAGCTTTTCAACATAAGCTATAATATGTTTTTTTCGAAAAATTACTGAGTTATAGCCAATTCTAATCATTTTTAAACAATTTCACTTAGTTAGCCATGGAAACAAGTTCAATTGTCTTTGCTCTTATAAATGTGAAACTGTCACATCCAAACTTTGTAAATTAAAATAAACAAAAATTGTAAATATGAATTTTTCAAATGAAGAAAAGCGTGTAGGTTAGGTTCAACTTTTCTTGACCATACATTTTCGAGGATACGTTGACCGGTGAATGTTACGTTTTTCAGAGAACGTAAAGACATGTTAGAAAAGTTAAATTTAGTTATAGCGAATTCTTATCTTTCTTGACTAATTTCACTTAGATTGCATGGTATTCTTATTCTGTTATGATTTATAACTTATAAAAATTCAGAATATATTACTGAACGGTTCTTTACAATTTATATTACACAAACTAAAACTTAAAAAAATAATATCACTACTAACACTTTATATTTTAGAAAAATAGTTATTTTAGAAAATGTTCAAAAAATTCGCCATTGTTTTGAGTTGCATCTTTTTAAAACTGCGAATTACTACCTATTCTCACAGAAGGACTGGTCGACTTAATTAAACTTTTCTCGTACTGCCACTTGGAGTGCCTCTCTTAATTCATAAGTTCTTTTGTAAACCTTATTGTTAACTATACCGCATAAAAAAATCTAAAATGGATAGGTCAGGTGATCGAGGAGGCCTATGCAATTAGTCCACCTCTTCCTATCCCTGCGTTTGCATAATTATGATATAAATAATTTTTAACATTTCTTTTTATTACGGGGGTGGGGGTGGTGTGTCATAATGAAAGTCATGTTGGAACCACTCTATTGATGCGCGAGTATCTACACACTTTTCTTCATTTGAAAAATTCATATTTACAATTTTTGTTTATTTTAATTTAATAAGTTTGGATGTGATGTGACAGCTTCACATTTATGAGAGCAAACACGATTGAACTTGTTTCCATGGCTAACTAAGTGAAATTGTTTAAAAATGATAAGAATTGGCTATAACTCAGTAATTTTTCGAAGAAAAGATATTATAGCTTATATCACCAAAAAGCTTAAAAAATGACGCTTTTTATGAAGTCATGGCCAACTATGGTTTCCATTTAAAAAACATATGTTTGTATTATATGTCAAAAATGACAGGCTTTAGAAAAAAATGGAGGACACGATCTCTTTAAGAATGTGATTATCTACAACTTTTATCTGAAAACTTTTTGTCTAAAATAGCTTATAATGGAATTAGGGACAATTTTTAAAATAGCCAAAATTTGTTTTTTTCGAAATATCTTGTAAGCCATGAACTTTTTCAAAAATCGGAAAGGCGCATATTTATGACCCCACAAAACTGCAATTCTTTCCCCATTTAACCGACTCTCTATCTCCAGTAGTTTCCGTGATACCCATAGAGAACATCGTAGCAAACTCACCCTGTATATGCTATTTATTAGGTGACTATGTAGATGTAGATTGTATGGGGTTCTTGTTTTCTAACTAGATCGTTAGGTATATATGTATAGTAGGAGAACTTTATTTTTTGCCTAATTTGCTCAGTTTCTCTCGCCATTCTTTGACCAATTTCGAATTTATATTGATACAGCTGTTGATCGCTTTTAAGCTGCTTGACTACTAGATAAGATGGCTATTTCTTGTTTCCGATAGTTCATATCGAAGATAAGTTGTACGCATTTCCCGATGGCGTAGTTTTCTGCCGGTAGGATGCTGGGGTAGGTGTCCATTGGGTTCGGAGTATTTAGTTTTTTCGGCCCAAGTATTCTTTGTTCCTGATTCGACTTTGGAAGCATGAGTATACCACGTTATGGTATGGTCTTTTACCTGCTGGGCAAACGCTTCTATCTTCCAATTCTTTTTATTGCTAAATACTACATTCAGGTGTTTTTCAAAGTTTGGTTAGGTTAAGTATTGTTTAAAAAGAGAGATGTTTGTTTTAAAGCAATTATTTGCTAAAATACAGTGGATTACAGAAATGGACAAAAGTTAATCCTTAGATTTTAAAAAATAAAATAAAATATATTAAACAGTAAACCACGTTAGCAATAACCATTATTAGTAAACTATATAAGTAGTTGTACCACGTTAAGTAAGTTTTTTCTTCTTAACTTTTAGAGCAATAATTGTATAACATGTATTTCCATTTTAGTGTCATGAGGAAGGAATGAATAAATTCCGAAAGCTTGACAATTAACAAAGCGTATTAATTCTTTGTCAAACCCTTCCGACTGCCCACTAGTTCCTACATTTTCTTAAACAGTAAAAGTAGATATATTTCCATAACTCTTGTTTAGAACATTGTGTTTGTAGTAAATTGAATTATTGATAAATATGTAACATATTTCGTTTCAGGTCAGTTTATAATAATAAATGCACATTTTGATACAGTGCCAATGATTTTATAAAATTATGCATCTAATATTTCTTCCATTTATTATAATAAAAATAAATATGACGAATTTACTTCAAAAATATAAACGAGCTTATTTTTAGCCATCTTTAATAACACATGAAATATTTATGATTTCTCTAACAGCACAAGTAAACAAAGTGAATATTTATGTTTCAAAAATATAGTCTTAAAGTTATTACGCATTAATAATAATTATGATCAATGTAAGTACCTACATACTACTTTTTACTCTTGCTGTACAAATAATATGGCTGTTTTTGTCTCTTAAGGTAGACACACACATAAAATTTTACTTTTGTGCCTTGAGGGTTTTGTTTAAATGCGGATGATCCACACGGACTGATATGCGTCAGTTCATGGCTCGAGTTTATAGCAATGGCTTTTATCTACGAAAATGCTTTGTTAGCAATTAGTTGTGTTAATACTATTTACCATTAGACGGAAATACCAAAAAGGTCTCAATATCATAATATATTGACATAAATCTTACTTTACATAAACTTAAGACTTAATTTTATCGTATTTTTGTGGTTGTATCCACCACCCCCTCCACTTAAGGCCGTTCAACCTTTTCCAATATGGCGGAGATAGTGCTTTATTTGGCGCGTATTTTAAACCCTGTTTTATTTCCAAATAGACATTTTTCACACACATGTCGGGTTAGATTACGTAATATTTCACTAATTTTTTAATATACAGGGAGTCTAAAGTTCTCCACATAAGTATGGAATTTTTTGTATTATTTCTTTTATGAAAACATCAGTTTATGTTAGTTTTTATAAAAAGGTCTGCTTTCTCAGAAAATAGGTAGTGTTAAAATATTCAAACTTGAGGTAGCATATATAGGGTGTACAAAATCATTGGAAAAAGAAATAACCAGAAATATATGACAGAAAATAGCAATATAAACTAAATATTCAATTGCAAACACTTACCTACCATAGTTTAGAATTTACTGAACGTTTGATAAATATATACTATTATGGACAGTATAGGAGGTTATTTGTCTTAGTAAAAGCCTTGGTAAATGCTCTTGGAATTATAAACTACACTGGCTTGGATCAAAAAATATGGAATATTTTTTCCATGTTTCGAGCATTACACAAATGGAGGATAACTAAAAAACACAATGTGTGTTTCAAGATTTTAAATAGAAAAAAACTAAATACCTTAGCTTAGTTTTCTTTACTCTTTCTCTTTACATAGGGCATTGTCTTTGTGGTAAAGACGTCATTCCTTTTTTTTGCATAGTTCTTCAATAAAATATTGGAAATTCTGCACAAGATGGATTTAATAATAAATTCTGACGTATGTGAGGGGCAATTGTGACCTAAAAAAGGACTTACATCCAGGCCATTTATATTTTCAAATGTCAATGTTCTCAATATCTTTCTGTGATCATTTTGATGTAAAAAGCTTGATTCTTCTTCCAATATTTTACTTATAGTGAGGTAAGTGTAAGCAGTAGCCATAACTACATCCTCACTAGGGTAACGGAGGTTTTGGCCTTTGGCTTTTTTGAGGTATATTTAATGCACTCCCCGAGAACTCCTTACCCGAGAACTACCAGTAGGAGTGAAATTATCTCTTTTAATAGTTGTCAACCATTTTTTAAGAAGCTCGTCATTTTTTGGGAATATAAAAGCAGAAACCTTGGGACCCCCTCTATAATTTCCGTGACAATTTGGAACAGAGCATGTAAAAGGCATGCTACAATAAAATGTTAACCCTTTAATACCTATCTTTTGATTATTGTAAGTAACCATTATAAAGTACTATGCAGACTGGTGGTGAAGACTTTTTACTCATTTAGGTGTAATATCTTGATAAATACTTCTAGTTCTTACTTTAAAATAATTAATAATACAGGAGTACGACAAGCACAAAAGTTTGAAGTTCCCTATGTGGAATGTCTGGTTTGGATTTTTATTACACTCTTATTTTATCACAATTTTCTGACCACTCCATGTACTGAATACTAAGAACTAAACAAACGTGTTGCAGAAGCACAACAAACTAGATATAATTAATTATTTCTGGTATGCAATCGGAACGAGAAACCACTACCGGCTTTTCAGGTTGAAGGTAAACAATTTAAAAATGCACTGTTTTCGCCGCCATATTTGCCTTGCGCATATCATCTTGAATGGCCTTACGTGGAGGGGGTGGTGTTGTATCACGGATCACAATACACTTACTGCTAATATACAGTTCTAATGCAGATTGTGGAATAAGTAGTAATAATATGTGTACGTAACAGCGCGCCACGTATTAAACTCAGAACTAAAGAAAAAATGTTTGTTTTTTAATTATTCCTTGAAATTAAATAAATTATGAGATGTTTATATATCATATTTTACCTAATAACTTTTTACCTATTACGTTTACATCTATTACAGGTAGACGAATTATATTTAGAATCTTGCTGCCAACACAAATACCATCAGAGGAAAGAGCATGTGCATGAAGAAATGAGAAAGGAGGCTGAATCTCTTCGACAACGAGACGAAGAAGAATTCGGTATGTAAGTCAAGCGAACTAAACTATGACGAAAACTAATTTGAAACATTTATCGTTCGATAGATACCTAACCTTTCTAGCGGAAGCGCTCAAGAAATATACTATTTGACCATTTGAACTATGCATTTTCAATACAATTTTTTATTCCAAAATGTTATTACTGATATTATAGGAAAATGTGGTGGTAGGCAAGGTTCAAATAACAGTGCAGTAATACATTTTCGACTTAAGGTGGATTCTTATGTATTTGTTTTTTTTATTTTACGATATTAAGCTTCATTCATAATCTCGAAATTAGTGGTTTCAATTAGAGTCACAGGTTGGTTCTTTAATTTTAATATAAGCATTCAGAACTCAGAACGTCAAAATTAGTGCTAATAATGTCTAATTAGTAGAAAAAACACGCTTTTTAACTTTTGCCACTAATTATATTTCAAAATTAGCGAGTAATGTCCGTCAAGAGAAATTGTGGTTAGAATTGAAAAAATATATTTTTATAAGCTAATTACTAAACTTTTTTCCATGTGTACAACTGAAAACCGTAAGGATATTCTATTAATTTGAATTGTATTTTTTTTAGATATTGTGAATGATCGTAAGCTCTTAAGCTTCATTCAGAACCTCGAAAATAGTGGAATAAATTAGTTGTTTATTTATTACCTATACTTTATACTTTTGATTTGACGATCATTCATAATATCTAAAAAATACAATTCAAATTAATAGAATATCCTAGAAACAGCTTCGGGTAGTAAGTTGTATCCATAGATAAACCCTTCATTAAACCTTTTATTTATAACCACAATTTCTTTTGACGGATGATAATAATCAAAGGCCAAAATGACCTGGGTCGAAAATTTTGAAGTATTATTATTGGCAAAAATTATTGAAAATTAAGCTGCATTCAGAACCTCCCAATTAGTGGAATAAATTAGTGGTTTCAATTACACTTTATACTTTTTAGTTTACTATCATTCACAATGTCTAAAAAACACAATTAAAATTAATGAAATATCCTAGCAACAGCTTGCGGTAGTCTGTTGTATCCATAGAGAAAGCATAATATTTAGCTTATAAAACAATAAACTTTTGATTTCTAACCAAAATTTTTCATGACGGGTGATAATCAAAGACCAAAATGACATTCCTCGCAAATTTTGAAGTATAATTAATGGAAAAGTCAAAAGTTTGTTAACTTTTTTCAATAAATGAAAATTACTACCACTAATTATAACGTTCTGAATGCTCACATTAAAATTAGGTGAACAAACTTCTACGGCTAATTGAAACTACTAATTTATTCCACTGATTTCGAGGTTCTGAATGAAGCTTTACTATCACTAATTTTGACTTTCTGAATGTCTTACATTGAAATTAAAGGAACACATTTCTACGCTAATTAAAACCACTAATTTATTCCACTAATTTCGATGTTCTAAACGAGGCTTACATGTGCCTTCTAATTTTTTCTCTAAAAATCTTTTTTCTTATAAAGTTTGCGTCGCATATTTACGGTTAAGTATCCGAAAATTTGTAATTTATTTTTGACACTGACAACTGCCAGGAGTACCGGTTCAATATTTTTGAGCTTACACTGTATATTGTAGATATATTCCTTGTGTTATAGCGGGTTTTTACAATGTGGTCGGCGAGAATTAAAATTTTTAATTATTTTTTTTGTGAATGTTTAGGCGAGGACCAATGTTCACAGTGGCAAAAGTGGCTGTGGGACCTACTGGAGAAACCTACTACTTCGATAGCTGCTAGGGTGAGTTTACGATAACATATTTACCGTTAAAATGGGAGGCTTGCTACCTTTAAACAATTTTTTGCTATATTTTCGACGTTTTTATGGTGGCTTTAACTTAAGCTTATTTTTTATTGGTTTTAGCTTAGTTTTTGTACTAAGCTTTAACTTAAGCTTAGTTTTTTTATTGGAAGACAAATTTTATTAATTTATGAAGATACTTTAGTTTTTATTTTAATTATTTCTACCGATGGAAAGTTTAAATTCTATTATTACTGTTGGAGGTTAGTACCTTTGACGTTACAACAGCAAAATAAAACACTAATTCACTACAATATATCAAAACACTTTACTTATAACATTGGACACGCGTGCCGCTAATCATAGCATCATCAGCAGATGATTAAAACTGGTTCAATCATCTCAGCAGTGTGCAGTGGGATTCTGTAAGGTCCGTAGCAAGAAATTTCTTGTCTAGCCTCAGTTATTTGTATACGATTGATGAGTCATTAGACAGGAAATATGTTTACAGAATCGGGCCTCAGGATGATATTAAAATGTTCAGCGAAACGCGCGTCTCTTCTTAAAAGTATAGTGTTTTGGTGTATTGTTGCGAATTTGTGTTTCGTTTTGCTTAAATTCTATTATTATTTAATTTTTGTATTTTATTTTGTTTCTATATATATTGCTTGAGCATGATTTTGTCGCGTTTTTTTCTGTAAATAAAATAACATTATAATCGTATTATAATTTTAATATTTCTATCAATAGTTATATTCCGATTTTTCATACGATACAAAATTTTAAAAAGTTTTAAATTAAATATTGCTTAATGCTAAATGTTTTTCATCTGATGCTCGAAAATAGATCTAATAATTATCTTTAGGAGAAGGGATAAAAAATAACAGATACTTATGTACTTTTATAACATTTAATGATGCATAATATGCCTGTCTGTTACCATAAAATTTTAAAATAAGTTTATACGGTTTTATATTATCTAAAATTTCAAAAAAAATAAGAAAATAAAATCAAATATTTTCCAAGATTTTTTTAAAATATTTTTACGAGATTTTTTAATATATTCCTTTATTAGTGAGTAATTTCACTCATAAATAGATTTTTAGTTAGTCAAAACAGTAGCATTTACTTTTTAGTAATAACTATACTAATCACATTTCGTTTTTTCATACCAATTAATATTACATACAGGATGAGTCCTAAATAAGTGCAAATGTTTTTAGGGCTGGTAGATTTTTATAAAAGAAACATATTTTCTCTTTACTGCTTTTTAGATAATTTTTCGCTTTTGAGAATCGCTGGATCTTTTCTGGATTTTCTTTTTAAATTTAATCTACTTTCTATGTTGCTATATTATGGAGATATTAGTATTATTTTTACTAAAAATTAAAAAAAATCGTTTAAATTTTTCAAAAAATTGCAAAGTAAAAAAAAATCTTCACAGTAAAAATGTTCAATAATCATGCAAAAAAACTCATAGACGTGTTTCTGAGGAAATATACCATCTATAAAAATGTTTTTTAAGACTCATCCTGTGTATTTAATATCTATTATAAAATACATTAAACATTTTCCATAATGTGTAGTGTTATGAGTCACATTTCCTTAACATTAACACATTACTGTTTCTAAGATATTTACAAGAATTATTTTATAATGTCAAAACAACGTTAGCAAATTATTGTTGTTTAGTCAAAAATATATAATTCCTAATAATTTTTGTGTTAGTACAGACAAAATATTTATACAATTTGAGAAGTATTATACAAATTTATAGATATTTTTATAAATTTGAATATCTGTACTTTAGGGTAAAGCCTTGTATGTTTAATAATAATTAGAGGTTAATAATATATATATAAGACTAAAAATGTAAAATAACACAGAATTATATATTTTCGAGCATCAGAATTACTACGAATGATATGGCAAATAACTGTTCTAGATGTCCACTGCAACTTGAAGATCTGGAGAATATCGGTGTTGTTTTTTATATTTAATCGTGCCTTTTCAGCTGTTTCTGCCTTATAACTTTTTTTATATACGTACGTTTGATGGTGAATGGGCAAATGCGACAACCAGTCGCACTCTAATCATTCGAACTCTGAAATGCGCTGTCGGTTATAATTCAGTCTTTTTGGTGACTATTTGGATCAGTACCAAATTATAATTTAAAATAGAAAACAAATTTCTTGCAGTAGAGGTATATAACAAAATTATATAAGGGTTCTTGCCACTTAACTGCTAATATAGAAATTTAATTCTACGCTGTGTTTGTCATAATGCGGATCAACCTGCTCTCACTACCGGTTCCGGTTTCGGATTCGAAACCGGTAGTGAGAGCAGGTTGATCCGCATTATGACAAACACAGCGTAGAATTAAATTTCTATATTTCATTACACTTAACTGCTAATATAGAAATTTAATTCTACGCTGTGTTTGTCATAATGCGGATCAACCTGCTCTCACTACCGGTTCCGGTTTCGGATTCGAAACCGGTAGTGAGAGCAGGTTGATCCGCATTATGACAAACACAGCGTAGAATTAAATTTCTATATTAGCAGTTAAGTGGCAAGAACCCTTATATAATTTTATTATAATTTAATCAACATATTCAAGCCCATTAAATACTAATTGTAATATTTTGATTTAATAAATATATGTATATTTTCATAATACTTCATATGCTTAAATTTTTATTTAGCAGATCTTGCTGAGTTTTGCTAAATAAATTTGCTTTTATTACAATAACCATTATTTTAGATACTAGAACGTAAATACGGGTTAGAATAATAACTTTAGATACTGCTTAAATATTAATATTTGCTAAAATTGTAAGTGATCTGTTCTGTTTTGTTGGCTTTCATTCTGTACAATCTGGTATTACAATTATTTATTACTAAAGGAATTAATTTTAGTTTTTGAGAAGAATTATTGAATTCATCTTTCAATAATTATATATCACATTACTATATAATATAATAAATTACATATGTCTGAGTTCTCTTAAGTATTAAATGTAGGTATAATATTCATATTTAAGAGATGTTGGATCTGATGAAACAAACTTGATCTGTGATTTTTTACTTTATTCGATAGAAAATGACACTCTGAATCGAATGACATATCATATATCAACTTTTGACATTTTGGCATATGGTTTATTTGAAATTGTAACATGCGGTTCATAACGACATTTTGACTCAAAATACCAAGTGTGTGGTATCAAATTATTCGTAAAAAAATGCTTTTTCCAAATATGCTAATGAGCCATCCGCGTTCAATTTGAAAAAATTGAGATATTATTAAAAATAAGATTTGGGCATCTTTTAACCGGCCAGGACAAGACACTAAAACATTAGACGATCAAATCTATTTTTCCAAGGCTCCTTGATTAAAAATTAGTGTTTTTAACACAGCCATGGCACTCTAGATTGAAATTTAAAATAGAATTTTTTTTGAGTGACTATATCAAAAATTGACATATGATATGTAATTCGATTCAGAGTGTCATTTTCTATCGAATAAAGTAAAAAAATACCGAGGATGCCATTTAAAAATCAAAAGTTGTAATTATTTTCGGTGAAACCGGAAGTGATCGAAAACAAATGAATACGTCAATCAATCCCAATTTATGTCATATACTAACATACCAAATCTCGTTGTTTTATCTGAAAAAATAAAAGAGTTATAGGGGTGAGCGCCACTTTTGAGACGCACCAGGTATGTCTATATGTCTTACAATTATTTATTGCCAAGGAACTATGAATATTAGGTAGCTTCAAAAACTAATGAAACAAGAATTGTTGGAAATGTAGAAAAATCATTATAATTATATTTTAAAATATCAAGTTGGAAGAGTACATTATATTGGGTAAAAGTAGTTATTTTAAGTTTAATTCCAATTATCTCAATATGCTATATATTATAAATATAATTTGGGTCAATAATTATATGCGAAATAATTAAAAATCTAAGGTATTATAGAGTTGTAGTTAAATTATTATTATTTATAATTTTAAATTAAAAATATTTAAGTTTTAAGAATATAAGCAATTTTTTATGAGGTATTTTTTAAATATATTAAATCTCTCTATAGAATTAATATATTTTAATGATGAAAATTATAAAAAAGCTAACAAAATATGTACAGTTCATACTATCATCGCCAGCAATGAATATATCAAATATTGTAGATTTACAAATACATTTTTACTAACAATTCAAGTAGAATTTTATGAAGTAGTGTACATAGTTGGTAGATATACTTTATTATTAATTATATCTTTTAAAACTGCTCTAGATTGATAGTAGCGTCAAAATAGTTCGCCAGATTAGGCTACTTATAATTGACATTCGAGTTCGAGCTACTTGTACATTGCTTCCTATGTTATTCGTATATATAACCCATTTTGAATTAATCTGAAAATATGCTTGATTTACACACTAACACGTCCTTTAACTTTTATCACGCACTTGTTTCTTTATTTTCATTTTCTATGTTGCGTCTTTTTTATTCTCAGTTACTTATTATTTATCAATTATTGTTGTGTGTTGTTAATCACAGTTGTTAATTTCAGTCTGAAATGGAAATCTTGGTTTGGTTTCCTAAAAACACATAATAGATTAGGGACAATTTTTAAACTTCAATTATAATTTATAAAAAATATAATTTATAAATGATACTGTAGGCAATAATTAATAACATTTACTATGATCTAGAATTGTTTATATATAGGTATAGGACGAATAAAATACAATTTTTGAAAAAAATAAAATATTTTTGAGAAATGTAGATCAGATTTTGAGATTTTAAATGTCGATCCTGTAGACATATTTTATTACTGAATTATTGAAGTTTATCAGTAAGTGCTTTTTTAAATAAACGTTAATCATGAAGAAGTATGTTAATTTTAAGACTGTTCCTACCTCTGTTTTATCTAAAACAATTTCACATTGGGTTTATCAAGATTTTAATAATTTTTAAGGTAGCTTATTCACTCTGATAATAATATTTTTGACCATATCAAATATGGCTCATGTTTTTGATAACCAAATTTAAAATTTTATTTATGTGTGAATATTAAAGTAATTGTATAAAATGTTGTGTTCATATTCTTGTTTATTTTAAGTTCATACTATTGTTTATTGTAAGCTTGCTTTTGTTCAATAATGTTTATTTAAAAAATCTATATAACCACTTTGTTAAGTTTCTTATTTTCATTATAGTGTATATTATAAAAATAAAAAAAATCACAAAGCATACACTTTCTTGCTTCGTAATTTCTTTTTGTGTCTCTTGCTTCTTACGTCTCTTAAGCTATTGACTGCAATACAAACACGAATCGGTTCTTTTATTAAAGCCTTAAAGTCGACAAGGGCAAAGAATGTAAGCATTATTTATTAACAAAAGATGGTCAAAGAGATAAGAGTTTGTTAAATTGAGAATTTATTGAATTCTGATTGAAAAAATATTGGAAAATAGAACGATGTGGAAGACAAGTAAAGTATGTTGATGATACTTAATATTCTTAGAAGATTTGATGTTATGTTTCAAAAACCACTGAGCATTGTAAATAATTAATTATAAAAATAACTTGTAAATGTAAATATTTATATTACATAATAAAAAAGGGGTCCAAGTTGCTTGGAAATGACCAAGGGAAATATAATGAACCGTTCACTGCACTAATCGCTTAACTCCACATTTTGAAAAATCTTAAATTTATGTTAAAAACACTTGGTAAGATGGGTGGGCTATGGAAGGCCACTGTAACGAATAAACAGTTTTTATTAGTTCATTTACTGGATAAATGAAAGAAACAAATTATTAATTAACACTTTGTTTTATTGTGTAACATATACATTACTTTTTTTGTTCTAGATGTAATCACTATTTATTAAACTTAACTTTTATTAAGCTCTTCCAAACGGCCTTGCAAGGAACAGGGCTCCATACAAGGAAAATACATACATACAAAATTATAAATCAGTCGTTTAACTTAAAACTAGAGTTGTAATAATCAAAATATCCATTTTTACTAAAATTATATAAAAAGTTCTTTCATTTAAATAAAAAAATTAAATGCTTAACACATTATATAATCTTCTTTAAAAAAACACAGCGAACATTCCTTGATCACAATCGTATAACTAAGAATATATTAATGGAAATTATTTAAAAATTATAGCAATAAGTATTATATCGATAACAAATCAGTTGCCAATGGGTTCTAGAATGAAATTACAAAAAACAAAAATTACCTATAATAGCCTTCTTACGGGTTTGTTCTTTGTAGGGACAAAATGTTTTTTAGTTAAAAAGTTGAATGACCCTTATAAACAATAATACCATATTATCGAGAAAAAACGGCGTCAGCGATGGCTATGAAATGAAGATCGCTGTCATTTTATATGTAAATTTATATGGGAAATGTCATTGATGTTCATTTCCCAGCCAACTGGACGCCGTTTTTTTCGATCATACGGTATTATAAACATAAAACTTCGCATTTTCCCGGTACGTGTTTATAACTAAAAATTTAGTGTTCATATTTTTATGATTTGTAAATGTTCCTAGTAAGGTCCATGTACCCTAACAAGGCCAACTGCCAAATTTTTGATTGGCCTTATAAGGAACAACCGACTTTCGTAGGAACACTATTGATATTTTAACTGAAATCAAAGCAAAATTATTATTTTTTTCTTTAGAACCAGAACAAATACTTATATGATAATTTACATTTAAAAAAATAAGATAATGATAAGTTATTTACATAAAAACTTATTTTTTCCTGTGCGCGAATTACAATTTTAACACCGACGACCGAAGTCTACGAAGCGAGGGATCGCACTAACAAAATAGAGAAGTGTCTAGCCCTAGCAGCCAACTATTAAGCTTGATCAATCAGGTTGGTTAGCGTGGTTATTTGGAGTGTGTTAATTCATTTGTGTTTGTCAAAAACTCTAACGTGATTGGTCGGGCTTAATAGTTGCCTGCTAGGGCTGGACACAAGTCAAAATAGCGACGCGAGCGACTCGCCGCCGTGTCTGTGTCTTTGAGTTTAATGGAGCTTAGTGTGAATGGAAGGAATTTGTCATCACATGATAATAACTATGACTTTTTTATAGTTGGCCTTCCAAGGAGCATGGCATACCTTATACATATTCAAAACTTTTTATATTTATAAAATT